TCACTACTAATAACCACACCAGAGATTCAATATTATGCTATTTTGAAATTTCTGCCACCAAAGAAATTAGTACATGACTCTTTAATTTGCCCTCAAGCAAGTTCTTGTGACAGGGGCAGAATGCAGCCAGCTTCTTTGCCAAAATACAAAAAAATTTCCCCTACCCTATTTGCTGTTGAGGTCTTTGCTTCCCTCTGAAACCTCTTGAGTCAAGCTTCTAGAGCCTGCTTTGAAATCAGCCTTGCCTTCCAGGCTCAGCCCAGTAAGTTCTGCTTATAGCATTCAACTGATTTTCTAGTCTAAAGTTCTGAAATCTTCCATATTTAAAAACAAGAAAAAAGAATAGTATGTTCAGGCTCTTGCCAGCAACAGCCCACTCTGGCACCAACTTATGTCATAGTTATTTCTCTGTTGCTGTGATAAAACGCTATGACCAAGGCAACTGGTAGAAGAGTTTACTTTAGTTTATGATTCCAGAAATTTAGAATTCATATTTATGGGGATAGCATAGGCAGCAGGCAGCAGGCAGGGCAGCAACAACCAGAAGCTGAGAGGTCACATCTTGAACTTCACACCCAAAGCAGAGATAACAAACTCCAAATGACATGGAGTCTTTATAAACTCTCAAAGACCTCCTCCAGTGACACACTTCCTCCAGGAATCCCATACCACTAACTGGTGATATTCGGACAGTCTATGAGGAATATTCTCATTCAAACCAATACTGTTCCTGGGCCTGATCAGTATCTCCTGGCAGGTTAGGGGAATGGTGTGGTTTATATTCTAGCACTGTGATCCAAAGCCTGTGGCAGCAAGGTGATAATATAGAGCAGTGGTTCTCAAACCTGTGGGTCATGACCTTCTTGTGGAGTCAAACGACCTTTCACAGGAGTCTCTTAAGACCACTGGAAAACGCAGATATTCACATTTTGATTCATAATGGTAACAAAATTACAGTTATGAAATAGCAGTGGGATAATTTTATGGTTGGGGATCACTACAACATGAAGGACTAGATTAAAAGGTCACAGCATTAAGAAAGTTGAGAAACACTGATGTAGAAAGTGGTGATGAGTTGGTCTACCCCCATAAACCACTCTGGCAAGGCCCAGAGAGACTGTCCTCCAGCGAGGGCATCAAGTTTATAGATTCTCTTCACCTAATCACCACTGCCAAGAGCTGTTTGATCTCACCAGAATAAGTCCCTTCTTTATTGATAAGAACACATACCCCATGTAGATCACTGCCATTTCCCTACTGCTTGACAAAGTCCAGACTGAAGGCCTTTTCATCCTCAAAGCATCTTTACTTTTTTCTGTCATCTATGTATCCATGTATGTGTCTGTCTACTGACCTACCTATCTTTTCTTTGAGAATTTCATGTATATTTAAATGTATTTTGATCATATTCACCTATATTCCCCTCTCCTCCTCTTGAACCTCTCATCCATCTCCCTTCCAACTTCATTCCCTCTTCTTTGTTTTCTATCCCAGTGATTCCAATTAGCACATCCCTACGTGTGTGTGGATATAGGGCTATCCACTGGAGTGTAGACAACACACTAAGGACCACATTTCTGAAGAAAACTGAATTTTCCTCCTGCAGCAGCCATCATCACCTTCCAGTAGCTCTTCAGATAGGGGAGAAAGTTCTTCAGTTCTTCACCAATCCATGCTGAAATTTTAGCTGGCTTGATCCTTCAGGTCTTCTACATCTGGTCTTGTACATCTGCTGAGAGTTCATGTGTGCAGCAGAAAACATTTTGCAGTATCCCTCCACTATTTCCAGTTTTTAGAGTATTTCTGCAACCTCTTCCTTGATGATCCCCGAGTTTTGGGGTAGGAAGTATGATACATATTTACATTTAGGGATGAGTATTCCACAGTATCTTATTATCTGCATATTGTTCACTTGTGAGTCTCTATATTAATCACTCTCTACTGCAAAAAGAAGCTCTGATGAGGAATGAGAGCTGTATTGATTTATAAATATAAAGTATTTAGAAGTTTGGTATTAAATCCATTTAGCAAAATAATAATAGTAGGTTCTCTTCTAAGGCCTCTGGTCTCCACAGCCATGGGTTTTTGAGCCCAGAGAGTATATTTTGCCTTTTAATTTATCTAGAGGCTCATTCACAAAGTAATAAAGACTAGCACTCTCTTACTTAGTCTGAAATAACAGGGCATCTTTAATCCCAGCACTCAGAGTCAGAGGCAAGAGAACTTCTCTGAGTTCTAAGGTATTCTGGTCTATATGGCAAACCCCAGAAGAGCCAGGACTATGTAGAGAGACCCTGTCTCAAGTACTAAACAGAACAGAACAAAAACAAACAAAAAGAATTAACAGGGGCTTTTCCTTAAAAGCCTACACTATGCTATATCTTCAAACTTCTGTAGGTTAGATTCTCTCGCTACTAGCCTATAAGCTTTCTGAACTGGGACTGGGAATTCCTCTCCGAGGCATGGCCTGATGCACTGAATTTAGTGTTTGTCACTTACTGAATGTTTGGAGAGATTTATTTTACAAATTCCACACTGGGAAATACAATTTCACTTAAAACTTCACTGCTGCCACCCCCATCCCCAATGTCATGACAATCCTGTTAGTAATTTCAAGGCTGAGGTGAGAAGAGTAATACTATGAAAAGTAAGGAATTCGGATATATGATGGGCCCATATTCTCATTACAACATGAGGCACAGAATTATGGGTGATTGTGTGCTTAGTGATGAGGGTACTGTCTGTTTGTTACACAGCTGAGTTTCTAGAGTATAATGTCAAGATATATTGCACAGAGAAATGCATAACCTGTGAAAATAGCAGTTTAACTCTCTGCACGGTGAAGATCAGGTGAGCTTTTCTCTTATCTCCATAACCAGGCATCATCTGACTCTGGTTGTTTAGCAAAGTGCTCTTAATGGAACTCTGATGATTTAAGTGTATCAAACTAAGTGTGGTACCAGGCATGAACTGTTTGAAAACTGAGAACATAGGTACTAGGGGAGGTTTTTCTAATGAAATCGCAAGCTAGAGTACAGTTGCTAGTTTCTCTTCAGCCCCAGTGCTCGGCCACGTATTCTACTGCAGATAATTGTGAATCTAATTAATGTGACATCAAGTCACTGGACCAGTGTTCTGGCCAGCTATTCCAGGGACTGATGCAGTCTCACTGTCTCCTGTCACCTCCTGTTTCTAGTATCTTGCTCTCTCTCTCTCAATCCCAACAGCTGCTCTGTCTCTTTGCCACCCTCGATCTACAAAGAAAGTTCAGGGAAGGGAAGGGCTTCCTAAGAAGAGATCATTGGATTTCTGCAGGCTAATCAGTCTTTGAGCTGCCAGATGTTTACAGTCACTGGAAAATACCAGACTTGTCAGGGACCAAGAGAATAATGAGATATGTTGCTATAGAAGGTGGTGAACACTTCTTTTTATTCCAATTCTATTAGCATTTGGATTAGGGGGCCTTGACCAGAATTGTGCATCTCACACCAAGTTTATTTATTTAAATATCTCTTAAGCAAGTAGCATGAATCATGTACTGTTATGTGTTTTTCAAGTTCCCTTTCTAGATAGTAAACTAGAAGGGAACCAAGATATTGAGAGGAACAATTAGAAAAAAAAATATTTGCCTTGTGGTTCTACAGTAGAATCTGGTGGTTCCCCTTGCCAAGGACAGTCAATAGAGATTCTGATCTAGACCAACCTGCCATATAGTCTCTACAAGGGGTTTACATACATAGGTAGATGTTGGTAGGCTTGGACAGAAGATACTGAAACACAGTGTATTTTTTTCTGAGGCTACCATGTCATTTTTCAGGTCCTAGATTCCAGCCCTGATCTGCACCTCAATGTTGTTCCTTCTCCAGTATTGATGATAATTAATATTTAATGTTGATTTATCTTTTAGTTAGACAGTGATTATTCCTAATCCAGCTGTATACCCAAATCACTACATAGAGACTAGGATTTATTTAATTAACCTAGAGCACAATGCTGTGAAATAATTACTCCATCCTTAACCTCCAAGCCTGCATAGCTTCTTTCTATTCAGATTTCCCACATTATAATTGCTTTTTAGTCATATCTTAGCTCCAGTTCATTTCTCCTGATGTTTCCAGGTCTTCTTCTCTTAGATCTCTCCTCCCACTTCTTTCTCCTCCCCTCTGGACCAGGATATCTCACCCTATTCTCACCATTGTTCAGCATTGGTTGTTGTTTTTGTTTTTGTTTCGTTTTGTTTTTTGGCAACATAAAAAAAATGGTAGCATTCTTACATAAGCTTGAGACAGGTGATGCTTAGAATAAGCATCATAATGCAGTGTCCAGACGGAAACCAGATAGTAGGGTAGAAAAATCAGCATTTGAATCAACAGGGGTAAACTGTATACATTCTGCAAGAATAGTTATAGCAACACTCTGGTGTTCTAAAGGTTTGGCCATTGAACCTGTAGGCAGAATATGAAGCTATAGATATACTTCTCTTTCTAGCCCTGAGAAAAATGTTGGTGATAGTACAGGTTAATGTTCAACTGAGGCCTGGATCCAGTAGAACCCAATAAGGCTCAGTGATCACCTTTACCACGTAATTTTCAAAAATTCAGTGATGCTAGAAACAACCACTCTATTCCTTTCCTGACCCAAGTCTGATAATTGATAAGCTTCCTCATAGACAATAGCACAATTGGTCTTTTGCACACCTATAATTGCCTCTGTCAAATCTCCCCTTGTATTTACAGCAGCCTAATGGTAGTAGACTAGCAAGGGAGCAGCTAATGGTAGCTGACTGCTGTTCAGTGTAGGATTTTTATTGCCCTGGGGCCCAGAAGAAGCTAGATAAGCAAACCAAACACACAGAATAGATTAAGGTTTTACCAGTATTTACTTATTTTCTTTCTGATCCCATTCAGTCCTGAGACAATAATCACCCATGAAAACAAACCCAGCCTGTGTACTTGTTTACCAGTATTTGTCTCTGTCTTTGTCTCTCTTATCTCCCTTAGACTGCACAGTAATGCTTCCTGACTGATCATGTTATAACTATCCTGGAATCCAAAGGCGGCATTTCTACTTGAAGAGTTGTCTTCATCATCATGGAGACTCAAAAGGATGAAGTTGTTCAGATCAAGGGAGCATCAGCCTCTATGGTTACCGAAGACAGAGGAGCTGAAAAGGGAGCCAAGAATAAAACAACTGAGACAACAGAAGGACCAACATCAGAGCCACCCTTATCAGGCCCAGGTAGGCTGAAGAAAACTGCCATGAAACTCTTTGGTGGCAAGAAGGGAATCTGTACTCTGCCTAGTTTCTTTGGGGGAGGACGAAGCAAAGGTTCTGGGAAAGGCAGCTCTAAGAAGAGTCTGAACAAGAGTAAGACTCACGATGGTCTGAGTGAAGCATCTCACGGCCCTGAAGATGTTGTCATTGAAGAAACAGGCCTCTCTTTGTCTAAGTCACCTTCTCAATTTCCCAGTTCCCAGAGTGTTCATGGAGCTTTGGAGATAGGCCCTAGATGTAAGACATCTGTGGCTGAAGCCACAGAGAAAGGTGGAGTTGAGAAGGTACCCTCTGTGCACAAGCCGAAGAAAGGCCTAAAAGGCTTTTTCAGCAGTATCCGTCGTCACCGGAAGAGCAAGGTTTCTGGGGCTGATCAAGGTGGACTCGGGGCCAAGGAACTTGAGGGAGCTAGAACCAGGTCTCAGGAGAATGTGAGTTCAATCTCACTCCCCAGCTGTGAGGAGATATTCCCAACTGCTAGAAAAGAAAATGCCAAATCTCAGGATGCCCCTGGGCCAAAAGTTTCTCCATCACTAGAACATTTTTCACCAACTACTGAGAAGACAGCTTGTAAAAATCCAGAAAAACTCACAAGAACCTGTGTCTCAGAGTTAATGCAGCCCAAGCCTGTTCCTGAAACTGGTAATCAAGAGGAGACCCACACTTCAGAAACTGAAGAAAAAGTGCTGACAGGAGAGGTAAACCCACCCAATGGTCCTGTTGGGGATCAGCTAAGCCTCCTGTTTGGGGACGTCACATCCCTGAAAAGCTTTGACTCACTGACAGGTTGTGGTGACATTATAGCAGAACAGGACATGGACAGCATGACAGATAGCATGGCCTCTGGTGGCCAGAGGGCCAACCGAGATGGGACCAAGCGAAGTTCCTGCTTGGTGACCTACCAAGGAGGTGGGGAGGAGATGGCCTTGCCAGATGATGATGACAATGAGGAAGAAGAGAATGAGGAGGTAGAATTAGGGGATGAAGAAGATGAGGCCAAGGATGGGGAGGAAGATGATGACTTAGAGTATTTGTGGGCAAGTGCCCAGATATACCCAAGATCTAATCTAAACGTGGGCTACCATACTGCTACATCTCCCAGCCACCAGGGCTACATGCTCCTTGACCCAGTTCGGTCTTATCCTAACCTAGGCCCTGGTGAACTTTTGACTCCTCAGAGCGACCAGCAAGAGTCTGCTCCCAATAGTGATGAAGGTTATTATGACTCTACCACACCAGGATTTGAGGATGATTCACGCGAGGCTCTGGGCATTGTCCATAGGGATTGTCTACCCAGAGACAGCTATAGTGGTGATGCTCTATATGAGTTCTATGTGCCAGATGACAGTCTTGAGAACTCCCCACCTGGAGATGACTGCCTTTATGACCTCCATGGTCACAACTCCGAAACGTGTGGTCCGTTCTTGAATTTTGAACCCTTTTCTTCTCGGCCACCTGGGGCAATGGAAACAGAAGAAGAACGGCTGGTGACCATCCAGAAGCAGTTACTATACTGGGAACTTCGCCGAGAGCAGCTTGAGGTTCAAGAGGCATGTGCCAGAGAGGCTAATGCCAGGGAGACTTATGCTCGAGACACTCACCCGCGGGAATCTTACAACAGAGATGTCAGAGTCCGAGAAGCCCAGGCCAGAGAGGTTCATACTCAAGAGAGTCGAGTCTGTGAGAACCAGGTCCGTCAAGAGAAGCCCATCTTGGAGTATCAGATGAGACCATTAGGTCCATCAGTGATGGGCCTGGTGGTGGGGACATCAGGAACTTCTCAGACTTCCCACCGGGGAACCACGTCAGCTTTCCCTGCTACTTCTAGCAGTGAACCAGACTGGCGAGATTTCCGTCCTCTGGAGAAGCGTTTTGAGGGGACTTGCTCCAAAAAAGATCAAAGTACTTGTTTGATGCAGCTCTTCCAGAGTGATGCCATGTTTGAGCCAGACATGCAAGAAGCAAATTTTGGAGGCTCTCCCAGGAGGGCCTACCCTAGTTATTCACCCCCTGAGGAGCCAGAGGAAGAAGAAGATGAGAAGGAAGGGAATGCCACTGTGAGTTTCTCACAGGCCCTAGTGGAGTTTACCAGCAATGGAAACCTTTTCTCCAGTATGTCCTGCAGCTCTGATTCTGACTCATCATTCACTCAAAACCTCCCTGAGCTGCCCCCCATGGTCACCTTTGACATTGCTGATGTGGAACGGGATGGAGAAGGCAAGTGTGAAGAGAATCCTGAGTTCCACAATGACGAAGACCTTACAGCCTCATTGGAAGCTTTTGAGCTGGGTTATTACCATAAGCATGCCTTCAACAGCTATCACAGTCGATTCTACCAAGGCCTGCCCTGGGGTGTTAGCAGCCTCCCTAGGTACTTGGGGCTGCCTGGCATACATCCTCGACCTCCACCTGCTGCAATGACACTCAATAGGAGAAGCCGTTCACTTGACAATGCAGAGACCCCAGATCTGGAGCTCTCCAGTTCTCACTTAGCCCAGGGTTACATGGAGTCTGATGAGCTACAGGCCCACCAGGAAGATTCAGATGAAGAAGGTGAAGAAGAGGAAGGGGAATGGGGTCAAGACAGTCCCTTGTCTCTCTATACTGAACCTCCAGGGGCCTATGACTGGCCTACCTGGGCTCGCTGTCCTCTTCCATTGGAGCCAGATCCTGCTTGGGTAACCCCTAGTCAGCTGGATGAGCCTTTCAATCAGTCTTCATATGGGCAGGCAACGTGTTGCATACCTCCTGTGGCAATGCCAGTTTCGGTGCCAGGGCTCCCAAGAGCACCTGGAGACTCTCTGTCTCACCTAGCTCGACCTTCACACTTACCCTTGCCCATGGGTCCTTGCTATAACCTTCAATCACAGGCCTCCCAGAGTGGGAGAGCCAGGCCTCGAGATGTACTGCTGCCTGTAGATGAGCCCAGTTGCTCCTCCACTTCTGGAGCCAACTCTCTGTCTCGAGCCAAGTCTGTAGGCATCACCCATGGTATTCCTCAGCTGCCCAGGGTACGGCCTGAATCCCTTCAGCTTCAACCCAGTCACTACAGAGCTTCCAACCGTGACCTGTCAAAAGAGAGGGGTGAACAAGGTGCCTCTCTCTCTACCATCTACTCCTCCACTGCCATGAATGGAAACGTAGCCAAGTAGTCATCAATTCCAGAGTGGAGATCTGAGCATGTGAATGGGGGTCAGGGGTTGGGCAGAGGGGTGGGGGTGGGGACTTCTGTTTAACTTGAAAATCCTTTTGGCCAATCCTCTGAGTTTTCACCTTGTTTTCCCAATTCCCCCTGCCATCTTTGGCCAGGTTCAGCTCAAGTACATCTGCCTAGGGAGGCTGCTGCTTCTGTGCTCCAGTTTTTGCTTTGGGGTTTCTTCTGACCCATATAGGGCTTGGGATGCATCCTTATTGCAGGCTGAACCCCTCTGCTCTGGTAATGAACTACTGATGAGCAGCCAATTTTTGCACTGACTTTCACCCAGATATTGGGGGGGGGGCTTGCTGGCTATTAGCAATATGAAGTTAGGGTACATATCTTTCCTAACCCCATTTCTTCTATCACATCAAATGACTATAACCTGTTTATCACAGTTAGTTATGTTAGAATGGGTCAAGTAGTGTGTGTCTTGCTCCCTGTTGCTGTGGACTTTGTTATCACAACTAGATGATATCCTTTTAACCTGGCCTGCCATAGTCTAGATTGAAGACAAAAACACTAATCCCCATAATGGAGTGATTAAATCTGTCCATATTCAAGCAGATTACAGACTTAGATAGATCAAGGAAATTGCTGTGGGGTCTTGAGCTGTGGAATAATAAGGTATCTTGTTTGTTTCTTAAGCCTGTGGTTGTTGCGGGCACTTGAGAACTTCCTCTTTTTCCTATCCCTGAAAATTTCATAATCTCATTATAAGGAATGTAGTCTTTTAGTTCATATAAGGGAAGAGAAGCCACCTTACTTGGGCTTGACTCTATAGGGCATTGGATGTTGTGGGATGCAAAAGAGGAAAACAGAAAGGGAGATCCATTTATTCCAGACACTAAGAAGTAATCTCAGACTTTGGAGCTTGAAGCAACTCATCAAGAGGAAAAACTCTTCCCATCCTTCACCAAATTTCCCCCTCCGAAAGTTCTTTAATCCTTGGCCACACCTTTGTGAAGTGGTTCAAAGCTTGTCCAAGACACGATGCCAGTGGCATCTAAACCTATTGTAGTAGGCACTCTAAAAACATTTCATCTTCCAGTTCGCCAAGTTCTTAGTATTATCAAAGGACGAGGCGTCTTGAGAGGAGAGATTGCCAAGCTACAAGACTGATTTGCATGGCAGTTGCAAGCCTTTCTCAAATGAACAGCACCCTCCCTTCTCTTGCATCCATGTAGTTTTCTTTTCTTTCTTTTTTTTTCTATTTTGTTTTGTTTAGGGACAGACTCCCACTTTGTAGCCTTCAATAGCCTGGAACTTACCATGTAGACCAGGATGACTTGTAAGTCATGGAGATCCACCTGCCTCTGCCTCCTACTAAACCTACTTTTGACTAACTTGGAAACACTACTAGAGAAGAGTTTACTATCAGAAATACACTGCAACAGGCTTATCTTGGCCAGGCTCAACTTTTCCTTATTCATATATATGAGACAGTTTCTTTTTAATTCTCCATCATGCCAAGTGTGGAGGCATGTGCCTTTCATCCCAACACTCAGGACGGACGAAGAGGAAATTGGAGCTCTATGAATTTGAGGCTAGCCTGGTCTACATAGTGAGTTCTAGGCCAGCCAGTGCTATATAGCAAGAAAGACCTTATAAAAAAATTCCCCATTGGAAATGAAGTATGAATTTTGAGGGTGGATATATTCATCTAAGTTAGAACTCTTTTATCTTCTACCCCTGTCCCTATTCTCTCCTCAGAGCCATCTTCACATCTATTAAGTAAAGATGTCAACAAGGCTCTTGCCAGAAATATATCAGTTTACCTTGAGAACAGATTCTGATGGCCTTCTGAGTCAAGATTACTTTATGGACCTACTTTCTTTGCCAGGGGATATATTCATGAAAATCTTTGTCACCATTTCTAAGATTGGGATTGGCCCTGTGCCTTTACTCCAAAAAGAGTAGACTTTATCAGTAAAAGTTAAATCCCTGGAAGTAACTACATGAGTTTGCATGGCACTAGCAACACCCCTCAAGGACCTCAGATCAGCTCTCTTGGATGACTTTGGCTACATCATGAAGAAACTCATCTGTTGTGGAACTGGATAATGAAAGAGAGTGAGAAAGGGCATCCTTACCCTAACCACATTATTCCAAGAGACAAATGCCAAGATTTTAACCACTTGTTCTCACCAAAGCTGTTCTGGGAGGGTGAGCTGAAATTGGCGTGGTTGGGTGGCAGGAAGTAAGCACCAAACGCCTTTACAACAGGAAAAAAACACACCTCTTGCCTGTTCAAGGCAGTCTCAGCTCCTGTTTACATTTGGCTGCCATCTACAGCAGGCGGTAGAGCTGTCAGCAGCCTTCATTGCCCACTGAAGAAGGGCTACCAGCCTGTGTTGGAAGACGAAGAGGTAATCTGCCTTTAGCTGAGAGTTGCCCTCACAGTTCAGGAGGACAGCACAGTGCAGTGACTCTGAAGGGACCTGCCAAAACTCAGACACATTTTGCTGTGCTTTGAAAATTCATACCTCAGAGTAGGACCTGGAGCAAAGTAGAAGCATATGGATTGGATAACATCATTGCCTGCAATTCTATCCACTAGCCTGGCTGCTAGCCCAGGGACAAAATTCTCACAGCCTAAAACGGGATAGCCAAGATACACGCCTACAGAAGCAGACTCTTTTTGAGTGTCTAAAACAACTGCTAGCTACAGCCTAGAAGAGGAAAAAATTTGCTGAGGACATATGGTAAATGACAACATGATTAACAACGAGATATTCAAACAATCTCCAGGTATCTGTCCAAACATGGCCACATACTTCCTTGGCTGGCACCAAAAATGCTCCAAACTACCAGAAGTGTTGCTATCATGTCCACCCAGAGGCTGTGGCCAGATGAACCTCCTGTCTCCATTGCAGGTCCTCAGATAATGCATTTGGATGTTACTTCAAAAGAAGATGTGATGATAGAAGGGGTTAGCCTCATCTTCTTACTCAGTAGTACTATATAGTGTCAGCTCTGATCCTGAGAATTTCTTGATAGTACAACCCTTAGAGGACCAGTGAATGTGGTAAGGAAGGCCACCTAGTAGGCCTATTCCAAAGCCAGGATGCCAATTTCTTGGTGCTTTAGATACTCCAAGGTAGCCCTGCCTTGGGGATCATCTGGCTTTTAGCTTAGACACCAGACCACAAGCCTCATGGATAATGGTTTCAGTAAATGCCATTGTCCCTCCTCTTAATGCTATACCAAGGAGGGAAGTAGCTTTCCACACTCAGAATGCTGGGTGCATGTTCTCATCCTGCCGCCACTGGTTTTTTCACCTGCAGCAGTGCCACCACTGCCCTCAGCCCCTAGGCCCACTTGCTAGAGGGAAGCATGGGGGTTTACCAGGGATACTTCAAGTTTACCCATATGTATGTTGCATCCAAGTTGTTTTTAATATATACATATATATATAAATATATATATCAAAAGCCAATTATCTATTTTTATATTGTTTGCATTTTATATTCATGGAAACAATGTTTATCAATTGTTCTTTTCTGATATATTTTATTTTTAAGTGGTGCTGTTTACGGTTTTAAACAAAAAAAAAAAAGATGACACAAAAATTGCTGCTGCTTGTGCAGAGGGATGTCATCTTAACTGTCTAGGGCCCTCCCTCTTTTCCCTCTCCCACTTGGCTGTGTCACACTATTCATTCTCTTTCCACATGGTAAGGACAGAAGATGCCCAGGTACCGAAGACCAATACCAGGTAACTCAGGCATGTGGAACCTGGAAGACAGCATGTTTTCTAGCTTTAAGTTTTCCTTTTTGAGCCACTACTCCTTATGTAGACATTCTGAGAGTACTCATGCCTCGACTTTTATTCTTTTCCCTTTTTTCAATGTTTTGTGCTTCTGTTTGAAAAGCATCATGCCCACATTGTGTAATTTGTTGTATTAAGTTTCTCCAAAGGAGCACTTGGGACACATTCGCCACCAAGAGACTTGGGATGACAGATGACAATGCTAGTTGAACTGCCAGGAATTGGTCACCTCCTTGAGGAAACCGTTGAATGGGACTTAAAGGAACTTAGTAGATTGCAACATTGTCCTGAAAAGACATTAGGTGATTCCTTTGTCCGTCTTGCTACTTTGTTCGAATCTCTCCCCATCCTGCCTCCTTCTTCTTTTCTCTGTTCCAGCTCACAAGTGGATGCTACTTTTGAAAACCAAACCCTTGTCTTTTTGGTTGTTAAGACTTTGCCTTTAGTGGCTGAGCCACCTCTTTAGCCAGGATGGCACTTTTAGGAATGGTGACTGTTACAGTCATGGCTGGGTGGCTGATCCATGGTTTCTCCATCCTATAGTCATTCCAAAGAAAATCCACATGGCATGTATATTTGTGAGGGTTGGGTCTATTAAGAGGGGGATTTAATTATTCCTGTTACTATTGGTGCTTATTTTCCCTGTTGAAAGGGGGTGGGGAAGGGCTGGGGTAAACCAGGAATGTATCTTTAGGTCATGTTAAATAAAATGGCTGGGGGAAGGAGAAAGATATTAGAAACTGCAGTACACCTTCACTCTAGGTGTCAGAGTTCTCTCTTCCGGTATAGAAAGGGAAGTGCAACTCTTTGCCATGCCTGAGCTTCCCTTCCTGACTCCTGAGACATCACTGAATCATCTGCATTGTGACCTCTCCATCCCTAGCACTCACTGGCATCTGTATATCTTGATACACTGCCTGTATGTTACAACATATATTTCCTTTGCTGAATGCTAATAAACTTCCTGATTCATGAGGGACCTCCAGTCACTAAAGTGGTTTCTTGTTTGTTTGTTGTTTTTGTTTTTGTTTTTGTTTTTGTTCCACATTAGCATTCCTGTGATATATGGCTGATGAGTTTGCTCTTAAAGGGAATTTTAACAACCAAAAAATTGGGGGATTTATTCAACAAGGGAAAAAAGCCAAAGCTGAAGCTGAAATTAGGGGAAACTCCCATAGTTCATTC